TTTTGGAAAAAAAGCTGATAATGTAAATTCGGGAGAATGTATCTTTGGATTTATAAAATAAAATACACGTTTAATAAGTCTGTGCAAAGCGCTATGATAGATATCGTAGGGCATAGAAATCTAGATTGAACATAGATCTTACCCTCAAAGAGTTTATTGTCTAGTGGGGAAAATGAGGTACAAAAATTATACTAAGTGTAAAGTGATATTTATCACCTGTGTCAGAAGTACAGTTGAAGGTCTGTGGGACTTCAGAGGAGAGAAAGGAGATTTCTGCATGGTAGAATGAAGAAAAACTTCCTAGCAGGCGCTAGCTAGCATCTGCATTTTATTCTAAACCTAGAGAATTTAGGAGATTAATTAATTGGCGATTGTAGAAAAAAATTGACACACAAAAGCAGATTTCCAGATTAACCAGATGGTTTTCTCTAGCGTTAATACTCCTACATTATTTATCTTATTTGGCATTTGGCATGTCTTCTTTTTTTTTCAGAATTTTTGTTTTTGAATTGGGCTTATACATAAGGACTAAATTTAATGTTTCGAAGCAGGTGGACTGATTCTATATGTGATATATATAATTTTAAAATGCATAGGTAATTACAACATTGCTATGTATATGGAGAAAGCAAAAATGAAAATTAATTATTTATATTTAGCAATTTTAATAAAAATGGAGTTTTTATATAGTTACTATCCCAATGTTTTATTCTTTCAGATTATCAAATGTACTTTAAAATAATGCTTTAGTTCTTGAAACATAATAAGGCTATTTCACTTTTTGATTTATCATTGCTGGGGAGGAAATCTGTGACCACTATGTATGTCCTTATGGTGACTCATTTAATTTTGGTTTTGCTTTAGGTTAACCTTGCCATTTATTCTACCCAGGGATGCTTCCTAGAAATGCAGAAAACTTAATTGCTGTAGAAAAAATACTAAACATAGTAGTTATATTTTTGAAATAAGATTGAGATGGAGGGAGAGAATTAAAGTAAGGGAAGCTATAAACACACATCAACAATCCACACATACACCATAACTTACCAACGGGCAGCGTCTGTGTGATGTCTAAGAGACTTGAGCACACGGATACTGGCCTGTTGTGCGCAAGCTCTGGTAGACTAATAGTGCTCAACCAAATGGCAGCATAGTCAAATCTCTTTATATCCAATTTTCCCCCTGAGATAGGCTTCTTTAGTGGGCCCATTGAAGTGACTAATTTTTACTCAATTCATACTTACTGTCCATTGGTTTTGAATTAGCAATAGCATCCTTTTAGTCTGTGCTCTGGGATGTTTATCATGAAATCTAAATATAACAGTTGAGATAGGAGTTAGCATGCTCTTGGCCATGCTTGCTGTATGTTTGCCAATATGACATTCATGTGCCACATAACATTTCTGTCAATGACAAATAGCATATATAACAGTGGTCCCGTAAGACAGTAACATGCTATACAGGTTTGCAGCCCAGAAGCAATAGGCTATACCATATAGCCTAGGTGTGTAGCAGGCTATAGCATCTAGGTTTGTGTGAGTACACTCTATGATGTTTGCACAATGACAAAATCACCTAATGACACATTTCTTAGAACGTGTCTTCATCATTAAGCAATGTGTGACTGTATTTAAAGTACTAAAAAATCTCGATGGAGGTGGATTGTAAGAGAAATGCTCGTTGTGAAAAACCAACACTGCTTTCTTGTGGGCTTATCAGTGCAATGGATTTGCCTCATAATTGCGTGTAATTTATTTACATAAATTCAAAGAAATGGGCTTAGCAAGATATAGCTGAGATAGATTGATTAATTAATTGATTTAAATAATATGATTCTGCCATTCTTCTCAATGAGTGTATTCACAGAATGACCTCAAGATGAGAATAATGATACATTATAGTACCAT